CAGGACAGGAGCGGCCCCTGCCGGGGGTCTTCACCGGGCGAGGCGGCCTCGTCCGCGCCCGGCCTGGGGCCCCTCTTCGGCACCCGCACGGAGGATCGATGTGCGAGCGGGCGGGCGCAGCGAGAGCAAACAGCAGGGGCAACCTCAGGGGGGACCGCATCGACGCCTCGTCGCCCAACGGAGGTTGACAGACCTCCTACCCTGACGCGTCGATTCGCGACTTGGCCGTTTTCGGGTTCGCGAGAGGGCGCCGCGGCCGTCATTTTTGCGGGTCCAGGTCCGTCGGTCTCGGTCCCAGGCCGTTCTCACTAAAGGGAGGTTTACTAAAGCGAGGTTTGTCCACCGCCGAGCCCAACGATGAAGTCGGGCTTGTCTACAGGAGGATTATTCAAAATTACCCTGGTGACGTACCCAACCCTTGCGCAATGCTGGGCATATGTGCATCAAGATTGCTACAACGGGGGCGATGACACTCCGCAGGACCCACCAGCAGCCCTCGAAAGTGGCGACAGTGTCGCAGATCGCAGCCCCCCAGAGACGGCGAGGTCTCGCTCAGGTCCCCGCGGAGCCTCACTCCGCAGGACCCACCAGCAGCTCTCGAAAGTGGCGACAGTGTCGCAGATCGCAGCCCCCCAGGGACGGCGAGGTCTCGCTCAGATCCCCGCGGTGCCTCACTCCGCAGAACCAACCAGCAGCCCTCGAAAGTCGCGACAGTGTGGCAGATTGCAGCCCCCCCAAGGACGGCGAGGTCTCGCTCAGATCCCCGCGGTGCCTCACTCCGCAGGGCCCACCAGCAGCACCCGAAAGTGGCGACAGTGTCGCAGATCGCAGCCTCCGGCGAGGTCTCGTTCAGATCCCCGCGGTGCCTCACTCCGCAGGACCCACCAGCAGCCCTCGAAAGTGGCGACAGTGTCGCAGATCGCAACCCCCCAGGGATGGCGAGGTCCGCACAAAGCAGGAGGAGACAAGAGAGGAGCGGGAGACGCGAGGCGGGAGGCGGGAGGAGAAGGGACGCGACCACAGTGCCCTATTCAAAACGAGTACCCAACCACGGAAGGTTGGGAAATAGTTAAAAAATAGTCTGGGGATTTTTTTTGTATTTGTGACCATTTGGGAGTATATTTGGCGTATTTGTTACTTTTCGTCGACGCTCCCCCTGTAGGGGGACACGCCCGACCTAACCCAACGATCGCCGAGGGGAGCCCTGGAAATGCGCGTTCTATCGCCGATCGCCGATCGATCAACGATCCCGATTTCCGATCTATGGGCGACGCATCGTCGTTTCAAGGTCGACGCTTTCCCCACCCATGAGCTGGTCCCCCCGAACGTTCACCACCAACACAGCTGAACACAACAGTATTCAGGTCCTCGACGGGGGCGCGAAGATGACCGCGGTTTAGGCATCGCTGCCTGGGCCGAAGAGGCGGCCTTTGGCGCGAAGGTATGCGCGCAGTGAGCCCAGCTGGAAGGATGAGGCCCAGAGGCTCTGGCCAGGCCCTGCACCGGTGCCGTCCTTCTTGTTGCGGAGGCGCGAAAGCCGCGACTCTGCGCAGGACGCGAGACCAGGGGAACGAATCCCGACTTCAACATACGAAAACTCGGGGGTCCGTGCGGATTTCTCGGAGCGGCGCGGGCCTCCGAGTTCTTATGTCTACGTCATTGTTCGCTTCCCTATAGGAGCACCTCCTTGCGGGAGCCCGCCGCGAGACTGCCTGCGGGAGGCAAGTCGGGGCCGCGGCTCCGCCAGCTTCGGCATCTTGGTCGCAGGGCGAACAAAAGCTTACCCGCCTCCGCGGCGGCGCGGCCCGGGCCCCGTGGGCCGCGACCCTCCGGGGAAAACACGGGGCGGTTCGCTCGCGTTCGCCCCCCGCGCGGAACGCTTCCGTCCGGTGGCGGATCCGCGGGGTCGCGCCCCTCGGGGGCGGCCACAGGGCCAAGAGGGGGGTGATGACTGGGGGAGGGGATGTCATGGCGGGGGCCATGATTTTCTCCCCAGATCTCATTGCGCCCAGTGTTATCCATGAAGTTCCTGGCCCCCCCCCTTGGGCCGCGCACGTGCCGCCGGCCATGATCTGCGCACCCCCCTCTTGGTCACCCCCTCGCTTGGCCGCCCCCGAGCTCTGGGACCGCGGGGTCATGGATATCGATTCGTTCGCCGCTCGCGAGCCAAGGGTCGGCGCCTGGGGGGAGCGCGCGGACTGGGGCCAGGTCGGGGGCCCAGGAAAGAAGGTCCCGAGAGCGCTCGTGCTCCCAGGCCCTCGCCCTGTCCGAGCGCCGCCGGCGTAGTAGTAGTAGTGGTAGTAGTAGTAGTAGTAGTAGTAGTAGTAGTAGTAGTAGTAGTAGTAGTAGTAGTAGTAGTAGTAGTAGTAGTAGTAGTAGTAGTAGTAGTAGTAGTAGTAGTAGTAGTAGTAGTAGTAGTAGTAGTAGTAGTAGTAGTAGTAGTAGTAGTAGTAGTAGTAGTAGTAGTAGTAGTAGTAGTAGTAGTAGTAGTAGTAGTAGT